ATATTTTTTTCATAATAAAATATAACAAAAAAAGTCAAAACCATAACACTGCACAATAATCTCAAACACAACCAAAACTCTCAATCCATTATCAATTATCATGTAGCTCTGTATATAATAACAGAGTTGCAAGAGCAGATGGAATAGAAAGACCTTCATCAAAAGGAAGGAAATAATAAGGAAAGTCAAACACACCGAAAAAAAAAAAAGATAGATAGAAAGCACCCAGTTTTCAGGACACTCTTGATTATTAATATTGACCCAGTTATTTTCAAAAAGAATATCACTTCGAAACCAAAAGAACCATAGAACAATTATATAACCCATGGATCGAGAAGTCTCCTCAGATACGAGTCTGGAATGGAATGATCAGTCAAGATTGGCAATGACAGCATTAACAATTTCTTGTGTTGTGCAGTCTCCTCCACCAAGATCTTTAGTCCTATACTTGCCCTCGAAGATTACACGTTTCACCGAAGTTTCGAGTCGATCTGCAAATGAGGGAAACTGGAGATGCCTTAGCAGCATGGCAGATGAGAGGAGCAAAGCAATGGGGTTTGCCTTGTTTTGCTCCACTATCTTTTCATTTCCCACATTCCCTGCGGAAGCACCTTGCTCAAAGACGGCAGTATCAGCTCCCACGTTCCCTGCAGTCACAAAATTGTTAGATGAAAATAATATTGAGAAATGCCCACAAGAAAACAATTGAAGAAGAACTAAACCAACAGCTAGTATAACTAATCCTCTTGCCTTTCGCATCAGACTTTTGCCATGAAAAAGTAAACAAAAACATACTGTCAGTTAACCAGAAAATGTTAATTGGTACCTCCAGGCATTACGCCAGTGCCTCCAGCAATACCAGCTGCTGTATTTGCAACAAGATTGCCATAAAGATTAGGAGTAACCTATAAAGCATAGAAGTGCTCCATTAGGATTTTCTTTTACCCCAAGTGCCCCATTTGTTGCTTGAGGGTTAAACAGTTGAAGTTTTATCAAGTCAAGTCAAAACAAAACATAAAAATGGACAGATAAAGAGACTATGAAATGGATGACCTACTATGTCAAGATAAGCCAGGAAAAAACACCAGAAAAAATTGTGGTCATTAAGTTAGAAAGACGAAAGCAAGAACTTTAATTCAAGTTTGACAGAGTTAAGGCCCATGACCCACATATTATATGCTGCGAACCATTAAGTCCTAATTTTATATTTAAGATGCGTTTTCTTAGAAAACAAGGAATTTCTGATTTTAAGGGATCAAATCATCACCATAATCGAAAGCAATTAAAGATTTACTAAGTATGCATAAAGCCAATAAGATGGCATTATCCCAGATCAACCATGATAAATTTTTAAATTCATGTACCATCACATCAAATTGCTCAGGCTTTGAAACAAGTTGCATGCAGCAGTTGTCCACAATAATTTCATTGTACTTGATACTTGGATATTTTGTAGCAACTTCACGACATGATTCTAAGAACAAACCATCTGCAAGTTTCATTATGTTGGCCTTGTGCACAGCAGTAACTTTCTTTCTGTTGTTTAGATAGGCATACTCAAAGGCATATTTAGCAACACGTTCTGAGCAGAACTTTGTTATCACCTAGCAAAACGGTGACATGAGAGACAGAAAGTCAACGAAAGTATCACAAATTTTACCAAGTTATTTTTGAAAAGAAGAAAGTTGGTAGTGACTTTATTTGTGAATAAAAAGAATAAGCAAATACACAAAACAAAGAATTGGAAACCAGAATAAGAGAATATTGGACCAATAAAATAACTGCAAAGAGTGTAAGTATGAAGACAATGGCTTGAGTTAAAGCAGCCATTGCCAAAGTTTAATCTTGATTACTTGTTAATAAACTTATAAAATAATGATACACCAAGCTCAAAGTTGTTATAAATAAGAGACTCAAAGGCAATGATGCAGTAGTCAACATGGACGGGTGCATAGGAAATCAAACTATTATGGGCTAAACACCAGGAAGTTCGAGGAGTCTTTTTACCACTTACCAAACAAAATTCAGCTAAAAGGAGTTAATAATGAAAGAAATTAGATCCTATAATAACAAGGAGGAAACAAAAATTAAATCACTCCCACAACAGATAATGAATATCAAAAGAGAATCAATCATCCAGCACATTACCAAAAAACTAAGAGGGAAGAAAGAAACAGCAGCAACTGGAATTCAATGGGTACCTTCAGACTCTCGACAACACCAGGCACAACTTCATGCTCGAGCCCCGAGTACTCCCCTTCAGTGTTCTCCCTAATCACCACGATATCCACATTCTCATGTCTGGTGGGCAACCCCGGCAAGTTACAGCAATGGACCAAAGACGCATATAAATCTAGCTCCTTTCTCAGCTGCACGTTCAGAGAACTAACTCCACCCCCGACAGGTGTTTTCAAGCCCCCTTTGAGACATACTTTGTTCTTCCTAATCGAATCTATGACCTCCTCCGGCACCCGCTTCATGTCCCCGTGAACTTCGTATTTCTCAAAGTAAACCGGAGCGTGCATCACCTGCATTACTTGTTCGACCGCGTTTGTGACCAGGGGCCCAATTCCGTCGCCAGGAATCAGAGTCACAGCACGTGGAGCGCCGTCTCCCGGTCGGGGCATGTAGGTTACATGTCGAATTTGGGTTTTCTGGGTTACGAGGTCCTTTAGAAGAGGACGCAATCGGCGTAAAGGAGTCATATCTTTTATGGGTTGGGTAAAAAACTGGTGTTTTGATGGGTAAGAAAAGGGTTTAATTAGGGTCTAAAGAAGAAGGAGAGAGTTTGCAGAGACGGCCATGGCAGACACAGGAGAGATGAATTAAGAAGAAAGAAGAATGTTCTA